ATTATTCATACATGAAAGTTGACGTAATTTTTTTGTTGAAAACTGAACTCAACATTACCGTCGCATTGTTATTCTTAAACTTTATAATGTTCAAATGGTTGAATGAATATTATGTATATATAATGTATGGTTAATACACGTATTTTGTTTTTGTAATTTCGTTTATATTAACTATATGCACAAGAGTTTGCGAATTGCATGTTTTAAAGTTGTAAGTTTTATAAGATTGACCAAGTAGATTAGGCAGTAAATTGGTGTATAAGTGATTTATTGTCTTGTAAATAGTACCTATATAAATAATAACAATAATATAGAAGTTTCATTTACTAGCTACGGAAGTCCTGCAGAAACGTGCGGATAGGGCAATTTACAATCTGGGCCCCAGAGTATCTTTGAGAGATAAGTTTAAGGAAATTAACACACTTACACCAGCGTCACAGTACATTTATGAAAATGTAATTAATGTTAAGAAGAATAGTAACATTAACAATAACATTAATACGAGGAATAAAAATAAACTAACTGTTCTTGATAGTCGTCACAAATTCATTTAAGGAGCAACGTATACGCTTCTATAATAAGATTACGGTTGATATACAGAATTGCCATTGTCGAGGTTAAAAACTATAGTGAAACAAAAACTTTATACAACAGCTTCTTGTACAACTTCTGCGTACTTGGATGAAAAATCCGTGGTAGTAATCCGTTTAGCTCATGGAGGTAATCTCGATCTCTGATGCTTGAAAACAAAAAATAATAATATATTGTGAATGTGTACAAATGTTATTTACAAAGAGCAACCTTAGAGTTTCTTGTTCATTCTTCTCAGGGGAACTTGCCTTACGAATGAGCTGTAATAGTTTATTATAATTATTAATACAAAGATCGAACACTCAGAAAAAAACACTCGGTCGGATATATCCGACCGGATAGAAGGAATTTTTTCTGAGTGTGTTTTTCTGAGTGTTCGATCTTTGTATTAATAATTATAACAAACTAGTGGAGTAATTTCACAAAAAAAAAAATTGAATATCAATTCAATAAAAATTTAATGTAATAGTTTAATCGATGTGACGATTTCAAGAGTAACAATGCTTTCCTATGAAATAAAGATTATTTTGATTTTGATTCTTGGAAATTCAGAATTTTGTTTATTTCCAAATAATAAATGAATATAAAATAGAAACTAGAGCTAAGACTGATGTGACATTAGCGGGCTTTATACAGACGCTCTTTTGCGCGTGATACAACCAATCGTGCGTAATTGAACTTGCGTGTAAAGAAGTTGGAAGGAAAAGGGAAAGACTGCACGTGCGCCCATAAGTCACAAGGTAAGTTACAAGGTTGGTTTTTACACGGACGGCTTCTGTTGTAATAAAAACGAAAACGAGCTAGCGCGCACGAAAGTATGTTAGTTAAAAAACTACAAACAGGCAAACGCGCGGGAAAGTGCGCGCAATCCTGTATGCTCCTGATCACGCGCGATAGAGTGTCTGTGTAAAAGAGGCTAATGTTTAAAGTTGGAACCAAAGTGAATTATTCCCACGGAGCAGCGCTGTGGTATTTTGTCTTCAAACGTTAGAGCAATGCTACGTGACGCGTTGCGTCATTGTTGCGACACTGCGTTGTAGGTACTACATATAAATTAGAACTACATGCCATGTGGTGCATTGAAACGGACGTGTGTATCGGACAAGGGGCAAGGAGATGAAACAGTGAGCGGTGCTGCGGAGCGTAAGGCGCCGCCCAAACGTGTGTGTTGTGTTCCAATTTCAACACACGAGACACACTGTGACACTGTGGTCGGTTGCGGCAACCACAATTGGATGAAAATAAAATATTCGCTTCTAGACGCCGGTAGCTTATACCCAGCACAAGACACACGTTTGCGCGGCGCCTAAGTAAGCGGTATTACGTTGCAACATTGCATTGCTCATATGGCACTCGATGATTTGAAATCATAACGTTGCGATGACGCAACGTACCACCAGCGCCCGTGTGGCATCACTCTTATGCAGACCACGCTCCTCATGCCGTTTGAAGGGTTAAATAACAATAGCAATAATAATAAGCTACACAAAAACAATAACAAAAAAGTATCAATAATAAAATTGTTACACATAGGAAATGAAACTATTTTTTCGGATATAATTCGCGTAGGTATACTTGTTTTTTTTTTTAAACAAACTAACGTTTCGGGCCATTTATAGGTCCCATGGTAACGGCTGTTTGACATGATTAAGTCATGTAGCTATTAAGTTCAGACCTCGGTCTACAAGGCTGATGCCGAACATGGCGCGCTCCACTGCTCGGCTCTCTGTGCAACTCTCGACCTGTATCCAGTCCTTGTCATGGACTCCCAGTACAGTATAAAAATGTTTTTGCTAGACCTGCTTTACTTTGGGCATAAATGGCGCCATGTGCCAAATTTGTACTGAAAATATATAACTGACGCAGACCCTGGCTGTGGGAACAGACAGGCATCGCGCCGATAGGTGTTGTCGTTTTGGTTTCTTTGCGTTTCGAGTCGAGATATTTCAGAATCAGGTTGCAGCGGTACACATGTGTCCTTAATAATCCCCAGAAATTCCCACACTTGCTACAAAAACCAAACAAGAAACAAATGGGTATAGTGTTAATGGGTTCCATTTAAATCGCCAGCACCCTCGTCACGAATGACATTGATTTGGGCATGCAGAAATTTATTCCGTGATTTATACAAAGTTATAAATGCTGTTAGAAGTTGTTTTGTTAAAGGCGATATATTTACACAATAAATTATGTGTTTAGAGCATACCTATATAATTCGGACTTGGAATTAGTAGAGGTGAAGCTGCAAATCTTTGAACACCACCCTGAAGTTGCCTGCTTATCGGTTAGTAGTATTCTACATAATATATACTCGTATATTCATTATATTTAAATTCACATATTCTGATTTATACAAATATTTTATTGACAAAATCATATCAAGGCAGTGGCATAAAGGAATGCATTTTTAGCCATTTATATGTCAGGTCTTCCCTTTTAAATTTTAGGTGGAACTCTGGTCGCCAGCAGCTGGTCAACGTGCGTCCTCCAGAGTTCTCCAGTTCAGTAGTTGGCCCAACTTCCTTTTAACTGTAGCCAACACCTATTTAGGAGAAGTAGGCATGTTGTTAATAAAATAAGTGTGTATATCGGTTGTATTAAAATTCACATATTCTGATATATCAATCAGCCTATTGCAGTCCACTGCTGGACATAGGTCTCCCCAAATGTACGCATTAGTGCCCGATTATCAGTTTTCCGTATCCAACTACTACCCGCGACCTTCTTCAGATCGTCGGTCCATCTTGCAGGGGGACGTCCTACGTTACGTTTGCCGAGACGTGATCTCCACTCAAGAACCCGTCTACTCCATCGCTCATCGGTTCTGCGACAGATGTGGCCAGCCCACTGCCACTTCAGCTAGCTACATTTCTGGACGATGTCCACAACTTTAGTCTTATGCTGGAAAACTTGATTCCGGACTTTGTTCCTTAACGAGATACCCATCCTAGCATATATTCTGATATATACAAATAATATTTTATTGACAAAATCCGGTCAAGGCAATGACATAAATTTTTTTTAACATTTCCAGCCATATATATATGTCGCTACAGGATATATCACGGAGAATGTGCGAAGGTATTGCATGATTTAATTCTGCCTTCCCCTTTCCATCATCGGAGGACCAAACGTAGGCTGAGGTTCCATCCCTACGTTGTGGATACTCTAAGCGTTTCGCTTTGCGATTTTTACAGCGAATGGTTATGGAGTGGAAATTCCTGCCTCCAGATTTGTTCCCTCAACGGTATAACTTGGGCCGTATCAAGGCAAGAGTGAATAGGCATTATTTAGGTGTGCATGCTCCATGCATGCGACCTCACCTTCGCTTTCCATCACGTGAGATGGATGTCAAATGCACTTGTTATTTAATAAAAAATAATCTTTAGAAATGAAACTGTTTTTACGGATCTAAATTGGGTA